GAAATGACAAACATCTGGCAAAATAAAGGAATCAAAATGTATTTAGTTGTTGGTGTGAATAATTTGCTAAAGCCTTCTCAGTACTAATAAACCTCATCATATATTTTAATCCTATTTACATCACAGAAACATTAAATCGTGAGATTATAATATAATCACATTAAATAACATGAATATCTGAACAGTACAGTGACGTTTTCTATCAGGTCTCCTGAGATAAACCATTTTTGGTCTGATTAATTTAAGAGACACCGTCTCCCTCTGCTGGTGAAATCCAGGCATTACAAAAACAAATGTTATTCCTAATCTATACTGCATATTAATTCTAAGAACATATTTTTTTTAACCTTTATTTAATCTGGTAGTCTCACAGAGGTTGAAATCTCTTTGCAAAATGACACCCGAGAACAATAAAATACAGACATTATACAAAAACACTCTCTCTCCTTTTACCTTGGGTCCTATGTATCCTGGTTGCCCAATGAAGCCTGGATTACCTCTGTATCCCTGGGTCAGGAAAAACATTTTTTTGAAATTCCTGTACATATGACTGGGATGTGTAAAATACAGGACTACACAGCACGGCAGGGGAATCTTAAAATTTACCACAGCTCAGATGTGTACATAAAATACACAGCACTATAGAAATATAATGTGTGAGGTGACAGGGGAGGAACGTAGCACTTTCATTTTCAGTGTTTTACATTATATTAGTGTTTGGATGCATAATGTACTGCTATGGTTTTTACCCAGTAACTATTCTTATTGCAAGTAAGAGAAGCATAACCTGCAGTTCACATGCTTTGTACCCGTTATATATTTTTGACTGACACATAGAAGCCAATCAGAGGTTATTATTTTCTATGTTAGAATATAATGGCTGGTAGTAAAATGTATTGTGTTCTATGTAATTTTCCCTGAATATTTTGTCTACACTAGTACATAGCCTACCGTTTGTCCTGGAATGCCAGGAGGTCCGTTAAAACCAGGAGGGCCCTTTTGTTGGAAACACAAACATCCACCACAGAAGATAAGGAAAAGTGGGAGACATTTTTGACCACAGATGAAGCCAAGAAACAATGATAACCACAAATATCATCATGTGAGAAGAGTGAAGGCAGTAGCTCTACAGATATGACAAGAGAAGTCAGAAAGCATTGGTAAGGAATTTCCAGTATGCTAAGGTTAGGGGAGGATTCATACATACTTCTCTCAAATGTAAAAACATTATTAAAGTACGATCAGACATTAGCTCTTACTCTTGGCCCGGGGTATCCAGGGATGCCCTTCTCTCCAGTTTCACCACGATAGGCAAAAGGTCCCTGCAATTACATGAGAAGTAGCCCAGATTTTATCTGATCGATCTCTAAACAGTTTTAACAACAGTTCTGATTTTGTCAAGCAGAGCCTCTCTCTCTGTTCTTTTTTGTTTTGTTTTTGCATATTTCATAATATGTTATTGACTGAAAACTGACTGTATTTCTAATTGCCTGCATAGAAATGAGACTGAAAATGATTGGCTCTGGGAAAAAAGAGAAAACTTACAGGTGGGCCAGGATTGCCGGGGAATCCTCGGAATCCTTTTGGGCCAGGTTCACCCTTTGAGAGAGAGAGAGAACGAAGGTGAACGTGACAATGACATCATTGAAACTATGAGCAGTATTATAGTATGGAATTAAAACTTTATATCTGGATGCCTGCTTTGTTTCTGACCTTCTTTTGACCACTTTTATAACTAAACCCCACCACGTCCGTGTGAGAGTGTTGTGTGTGTAAGTGCTAAGACTTCTGTCGCTTCCCTGCCTTTTGCTGTGTTACCTTATCTCCCTTGTTGATAATGAGGGTTTGCCCGCCTCTTGACTCGTCGCCCGGAGATCCACTAGGTCCGGGAAGACCCACGTCACCCTGGAGGTCGAAATACACGCAGCACATCATTAGGAGGGGTGCAAGGGTTCAGGACAAACAGGGAAAAGATTGAAGTGGTGAGGACAGATAAAAAGAGGAATGGGCAGAAATGACCACCAAAAAAACAAACAAAAAAAAACAACAAAACGGCAAATGATAATGAAAACAGTGAAGATAAGTGTTCAAAGACCAGAGAGCAAGACAAAAAAATAGACTACACGGCCAAAAGTATGTGGACACTGTGGATATTACTCCCATAAACTGCTGAACATGCCATCTCAACATCATGGATGTTAATCTGCTTTTATAACCGCTGCAACTCCTTTAGGTTTCCACCATATTACAGCTGCAGGAATTTGCCCTCATTCAACCACAAGAGCATTAGAGAGGTCCAAAACTGATGCGGATTGACAAGGCCGGGCTGATTGATCAGGTTAATTTCATCCCCAAGGAGCTGGATGGGCTTGAAGTCAGTCAGGGCTCAGTACTGAACACTCTTCCACAAGTGAAAACCCATTTCTTTTAGGACCCGGCCTTGTACTATATCTGTACAAGCGGACATTGTCATGCTGAAACAGGCACGGACCTCCCTGAGGTACAATACTGTCTAAAATAATACTGCATGCAATAGCTTTGAGATTTCATGCAGGACAAATTCTGCCATTACTGAAGTTTGCTATCACTACATCTGTGTAGCACAATGCATGATGTGCAAGTGACTTTTAACATGATTGAAATACACCACTGTGCACTGATCACTGCAGACATCTAAGTTTACATGACGTCTTACCTTGGTTCCTTTCTCTCCTTGATGTCCATCACTGCGGGACCCCTAGAAACAGCAAGGGTTAACAAAAGGCACTTGGAGGAACAATAACTTTTAAATGGTAAAACTGAGGCGATCATCTTGTTTATAGCATATGATAAATCATTATACTCTATTATTTGACCTACCATGGGCCCCGGGGGGCCGGGAGGACCAGGTGGACCCTACACACAGATGAGATGACAGAATCAGACTCAGTTTCAGCAGCAACAAAATAATATTCGCAAATGCTTCCAGCTTTAAAACAGACATAAAAACTAATAGAGTCTGTAATAGTTTGATAGTTAACTTATTAAAATGTTATAAATTGCCCAAAAGCATAAAATGTGCAGAGGTAATCTGAATCTTTCACATATTTACTGGCAATTATAATTTAAAAAAATGCAACCAATACTGTAAAATTAGCATAACTTTATCATGAAATAACATTATATTATTCATAAACAGTTTGAGGCTATGGTGTAATGCAAATTAAAATGAATAAAAAGGACTCACTATACTTAGAATTAAAACTATAAGAATTCATTAACACTTACACTTCATGTAATAATTAAGTATTATATATTAAGCTGGTTTCATGGTATATTCATCCTCACTCTGAGGACAGATTATGAAGTAAACCTGCAATTTTTAAATCATTAGTTTTATATACAGTGCCTGTAGCTACAGCTTAAAACATGAAAAGTACACAAACAGCATAAACATGTAGTAACATTTAATGTAGTGTAAGGGACCAGTGAAGAGGAGAAACAGGTAAATTAGTCGACGTACAGGGAAGCCGTCAGGTCCTCTTGGACCAGCCAAACCATAGGGACCGCCAGGACCTCTGATACCCTGCAGAAATAAAACACACCCAGGTCAGAATAAACTCTACTCCATACTAATTTACATATCATTATTTCACACAACTGATTGCAAGAGTATTACTAACATTTATGAGAGGAGCCTGTAAAAAATGAGCAAAGTAAGCAGGCAAGTTGGACGGTATGTACCAGTCAACAATGGTCCTCCTGTTTTTAGGTTTTCTTTTATAAAAAATCAGTCTATATTTTGTTTAGTGAAAGTTTCATTTTGTATCACAAATTCAGTATATTTTGAAACCACAGTTCACAGAGCTCCAATGTGTCATTTTGTATTCAAAAGAAGTTGCCAGTATGTCATTACACAGTGAACAGAAAAAGAAATAATCTTACAGGTTTACCGTCCGCTCCTGGAAAACCTGGTGAACCCTGAATAAGGAAAAAAATAAAAAGATTAACTAATAAGCATTCAGTAATAAAACACTGCACCGCTATTCTTTAAAATAAATATTTTTATGTCCATCTTTGATTTGGCCCTGCTACAAAACCATGCTGGAAAAAGTCTCCTAATCTAAAACTACTGAACACCATTGCACTAAATAGTGACTGAAATTGTCAGGTTTGCCCGGCTGCCCCTGCCAGTTCTTTCTAGTATCATCAGGCCCGTTTGTTTCTCATTGTTCTTAGCTATATGTTGTACTCACGTTTTTTGTCGCCCTAGCCCTGTTCCAATCTTGTGCCCCTTTGTCTCAGCCTCCTCGCCTCTGTCGCTTCTCCGGACCACGGACCTCCCCAACCCCGCACCATCTCCACCACGCAGGTCGATGCACAGTCTCCCATTAACTGCATGTACTAACTCTGTCTCCTCAGCTACCTTCCACCACGACCAGCCCAGGAGTGAGTCCCAGCGTCCGCAGCCCGGCCTTTCCCTCATCATTCCACCACTGACTGTTATTCACCATCTGCAGCTCAACACCCGGTCCCACTTCAACCTGGTTATTCACTTACTTGTACAATATCACTGTAAATAAACTGAGCACTACTTGCACTGAAGTCAGCCACCTGGGTCCATCTTTTTTGACTCGCTCACCTCTGTGTCCGAGCGGATCTAACAGAAATGGTTAGTAATGGTAAAATTAACCCAGGAACATCACTGCTGTTCCTGAGAAATGAACCTAACAGGTGGGTTAAAAGACAACACAGCTGATTTAAAGTTTTTTAAGGTGCAGAAAGTCAGAAAGAAGTACAGAAGAGCCAGTGAAGGGTGGCAGGAGGGTTGGAGGAAACAAATACAGGACCTGAGGTAAACAAATAGGGTGAAGGAAGGAGGAAAGGAAAGCTCACAAGAGAATGAGAGTTATAGCTAAGCAAGGGTAAAAGACTGCAGGAAAAGAAGGCTTTTGCTTAATGCAAAGTTTTATACAGAACACAGTGTTAATGAAACTGACTGTTTAAGAAAAACTGAATGAATATGAGTAAATATGAATGTGTGTGTGAGGCGTTACCTTGATGTCATTAACTGTGATGTATTGAGGTTCTCCTTTCCGACCCTTTGGCCCAGTAGGCCCCTGTTGGAGCAAAGGACACCACTATGTTCCCACTATCTCTTAAAAGC